TCTGTAACCAAATTATGACAAATACGTGCCACTGAAATGTCCAGGTTCTTCTTCACATTATATGCATTCAGATGAATATTGAAATAGTTGAGTGGAATTATTGGATTTCAAGAAACAAGTGACAAAAGGAGGGTCATTATTTTTAAGGATGTACATTGGTCGATACTGATCTGATTTCCAATACAGCTGCTTCAAGCTGATAAGTCTGCTGGGGTGAGAGGGGAGCAGGGAGGGAAGGAGTGTGGGAGGGCAGATCAATGCCCCCCACGGTGAGGGAGGTAGTGGAGCTGGGGTAGGTGCTGCCCAGCCGGGGCAAGGCAGTATGGAGCTGAGGTAATCTGGGGGGAGGAGGAGGGGTGACTCCTGCTGCTTGTCTGGGAGGGCATGGGGGGGGTGGCATGCACCCCTGGATTTGTGTGGGGCAGGGCAGGGTAGGCTGCAGCTGCAGGCTGGTGCCAGGGGCCGCATTGTGCTTGGGGTGGGTGGTGGCAGTGTTGGGAGGACGATTACAGAGGGGGCTGCAGCCTCCCGTCCCAAGTGACCCCAGCCCCTCTCCCTCCCTCACCATGGGGGGTGTTGATCTATGCCCCTTCCCTCCCCTCCCCTCCCCTCTCCTCCCCTCCCACCACAACAGACTTACCATCTGCATGCAGCTCTCCAAGCTGCCAGGCTGTGCTCCTCATTGCCTGTGTGCTGCACTGCGGCTGCGTGCACACACGGGCATTTATTGGCCAAATTATTGGCCACTTCAGGCCAATTTCCAATATAGTCAATTTTCTTTATATCGGAGTTGATCCGCCTTTAGTAAAAGGCACTGCTTTCTTTTACATACTACCTAACAGCTTGTGCTCTTTCTATCCAGACTTCTGTCAGTTTATCTTGACCAACTGACTTTCTCCTGGAAAATTATACTCCTGAAGCCTTGGAGAGGAGTAGGCAAGACACGTGGCTAGAGCCAATTTCAGCTGCCCTGACTTGGAAGGCTTACTGGAAAGGCTCCTTCATATCTCTTTCCCCTTGCAGCTGTTTAGAAATGACTTTCTGATTATCAGTAGCAACTGATCTCTGCAAAATCACAGCCTCTGTCCAGTATTCCCTCTCTAGTTAGGCTGTAGTTCCTTTTCCCCTGTCCATGTTTGACACCTAAAGGTGGAGGACTTTGGGATGACTCGCTGCTGTTAGCTCTCTAGGTGCTATTTGCATTGCCCTTCTCTCCTGCTTGTTATCCAGTCCAGCTTCAAGAAGTGAGAAAAAGACACAAAAATACAGTTAAAGTAAAAACCCATAGTCTTAATGTTTGCCCATGGAAAGATTAAAGGTTGAATGATGATTTTATTGGAGGTCCCTAAGTGCACCCTGGGGTCATTTGGAGCTGACAGATTTTTTTTTTTAATGGTGGCCATCCTTGACAGAACCAGCTGATTAGCAAGGCTGTGGCCATTGGCTATGGAGTAGCAACTGACTGCAAACTCTGTGATTCATCATTAAGGATAATTGATGCCCTGTGTAATGGACTTAGTAAACTGGCAAGGAGCGTAGCTCCGTCCTGAATGGATAATAATGTGCCAAATATTTTGGGAGATGCTCTGTTATGTGAGCTGGCTTGACATGTTTTATCAGCAAAAAGTCAGCTGCATAATTCCCCACTCAAGCTTGAACTGAGTAATGAAGTTGATTCTCCTTACTGTAACTTTGTATGGGTAAAGCACATTGTGTTTATATCTATTGGATATAAAAATGTTTTTGTTACAGATTTAGCATGTTGTCCTGCCCATTAACTAGCCCTCCATGAGTGTCCTTTTAAGAACCCCCTAGATCTGTGCTTAATGTGGCAGAAAGGAAGACATTTTCAATGGGACTTCTGTGCATCCAGTATTGTTATGATCTATTGCTTGTACAGAACTACCGCTACATAGAACAGGATTTGACTTTTCCTGTATGGCTTCCAAAAGAGTGGCAAACATTTGATTGCTTGTCATGCAATCTGCAATTGTCCCCTAGTGCGTCCCCCTTTTGTCTGTATACGTCTGTTGTTTTATGCTTAGATTGTAAGCTCTTTGTAGGCAAGAACCATCTTTGTTTTGTGTTTTAGAAAACACCTACTGCAAATGGGGTTCTAGGGAAAGTTTTTAGTCACTGGAGTAATACAGTTCATTACTTTAGAGGTTATTCTTTCTTCTATTCCCCTGCTAGCCAGCCTTGCTGAAATTCAGCTAAAAAATGAGTCCACCTCTATCCACCCTTCTCAGGTAATGGTCCACCTAACTACTAATATTTGTCCCTCAAATGGATACAAAAATGTGGTAGTAGGAAGTATGTAGTGCAAAGAGGGTTTGAAAAGTGAAGAAAAAAGGTTTAAAAAATATAGCACTCTGGCGTTTCTGTTTTGTCACATTGAGTGTGCGACTCTATCACAGTTTAGCCGTACTTTTGATTCATGAAGCTAAATTGATTAGGGAATGATGGAATAAATTACATGAATAATTAGGAAGTGCCAGTAAATCGCAATCTAGAGCAGATGTGATCTGTACCCTAGACTTTACTCTGTCTTATGGATGGCAGCTTTGTACAGAGTTTTATGGCACAGCATACTGTCTCATGAGGCTGCTGTAATTTCAGCCGAAATTCTTTTATCTGTGTGATGTGGCTTTACTTTGTCTATAAATATATCAGTAAAAACTTTCAGCCACATCATGGCCAGATTTGAAACTGCTCATCTTTTTCTGATTAGTTTATTCTCTTTTATTGTTACGGTCACTGGGTTTGTCGTAATACTAAAAAATAAATAAATAAATACTTTCCGGGAATATCTTTTTGCCTTTTGAATTCTCACTCTTGTCTGGGATCTAGGTCCTTCAAAGCAGTTGTATCATGTCAAAGTCTGAGAGTGCCATATTTTCCTCATGTATTGGCCTGGCTTTGTTGTTGATTTGATTGTGATGGGATTATAAAACCCTGCCCTTTTATTGAAGTTTGCAACATTACCAGCATGTGCCCCAACATCAGCGATCCAGTTTTGCTCTTCTATTCCCCTACACAAATCCGTTTTCTACATTAACAGGAGTTTTTATTTTAAAGCATGAGCAGTTGGAAAGTTTAAGAAAACAATAAAGTTGAAACATCACACAAGGGTTAATTATAGCAATAGATTTTGGTAACAAGGAAAATGAAAACTCTGAAATAAGAATAGCAGGCTGGAATTAATATTGTTTTACTACTTTAAATGTGAATTGGTCCCATATTGGTCAGAAAAGCCTGACAACTTCTGAAAAACAGAAGATACCAGTACTTGTTTCAGACCAGTGGTTCTTAACCGTTGCAGTCCTAAAGCACACTCCATACTGTTTCTGAATTCACAGGACCCAACATGAGGCCAACTCTTCTGTATCATAACTAGTGCAGGTGGGAAGGGAAGTGTGCTGAGAGCAGAAGAGTGCGTGTGTGTGGGGGTGGGGGCAGGCAGTCTTTTCTGCTACTGTGGGCTCACCCAGGGGTTGCAGGCTCGCTGTTAGGACCCTGGGCAGAATCCCCATGTTAGCTCCCCTCACCCTCTTTATTAACCTCTTGCAGGTGCTGGTGATCTGCATGTAGATCATGGCTGTGAAAGGATTAACACAGTAGCTGTTGCCACACAGCAGAGGGGTGAGGGAGCCTGGTTGCAAGGGGGATCCTGCAAGAGAACAGTCCATCCTAGTGAGTCCAGGGCACAGACCCCTGTTGTCATCCCTGACCCGCTCCCCCTGTCTCCACTTTGGCTGCAGCCAGGCAAAACTGTTCCCCTTGCCTCTGGTTCCAGGAGGGGCTGGAACTGTGGCAGGCAGGCTGGGAAGGGCGGTGGTAGAGGGGCATCTGCTGCAGCTGTCTTGGTTCTGGCTTACCCCTCCTGGAAACAAAGGTGTACTGGACAGTTCCACATGGCGGCAGCAGTGGTACCAGCTCTGGCACCCTTGAACAGCTCCCTGTTTGAGAAGCAGTGCTTTACACACTGTCTAATTGCAACTACCTTTCCCAGGTTGTGCTTGTTGAAGATAGGCCAGTCTCCTTGTCTGCCCTACGCTGCATTGTTTGACACAGAAAATCAAGTTCATAGAGTTTAATGGGGATTCTTGAATAATCTAGTTTGTGGTGTGTATCACAGGCCATTGATTTTTTTTTTTTTTAATTTTATTTTTTTTTAATCATCTGGCTAGGTCTGATGTCAGCATATTTTTAGAAAAGAAAGATTAATGATTGGATTCCAAACTAACATGTAGGCTCATTAGTTGAATTGTATGTATTGATGAAAGTGTTTCTATAGTAGAAATTTGGGTTTCTCTCTAAATCTAGACATCTGAGTATATGTTTTTTGGGACATATGTAAATAAGTATGGTATTTTTCCTTTTCGTTTGTGTGCTTTCTCAACCTCCCCTTCTCGTTATATGTAATATAAAATTACAAACATACGTACGTGTGTGTGTGTGTGTGTGTGTGTGTGTGTGTGTGTGTGTGTACAATACAGACATCTATTATTCTTACAGTGCCGTAGGGTGTGTAGTACTTCATAGACAAATAGAGACTGGCACTAGAGAGTGTGCAACCTAAATATTTGTGAATATTTTCTAGATAGTGCATGAAAAATTGCTGTGGTTTGAAAAAAGCAATAGTTTGAGGGAGTATGAGGTTAGTATTATGGTTAATTAGTTGGAATGGAGCAGCTTTCTTTTAACCTCAACTCTTCTAGGACAGTTTGATGCACTTTTTGTAGTTGTACTTATTTTGTGCTTCTCATTACTAGTTAGAAACTGGTACAGCATATGGAATCCACCACAATGATTTACTATGAGCCTAAGTAACATGTTAATTTGTGTCTGTCATGCTGCGTGTGCAAGTCATTGCCACCTGTTGCATAAAAGATAAACGTCATAAAAGTTGGATGGCTTTGAAGGTTCTGTTCTGATACTTTATCAATTCTGGTTAAAAAATGGTTGCATGTTAATTTCTGGTAACCTTGTTTTCACAGGATGTGGTCAACACTGGACTCAGCACTTTCTTCTTTTTCATTGCATCTGTTGTACTCGCTGCTTTAAACCATAAAACTGGAGCAGAGATCGCTGCTGTGGTAAGAAAATAATTTAAATTTCTTTACTCTTGATGGTTACTTCTCATCAGAACTAAAGAGTGACTCTCCCCAGCCACTGGCCATATTAGTGTCTGTCACTCACTCTTCTCTCTAGACCAGGGGCAGACCATTATTTTGGGTGAAGGGCTGCTTAGTGAGTTTTGGCAAGCAATCGAGGGCCACGTGACAGGCAGCCAGGGGCAGACGCGTATTAATTTTCTAAAATTTAGGGACTCTGCGGGCTGGATAGAATGGCCTGGCAGGCCGTATCTGGCCCGCAGGCCACGTTTTGCCCACCCCTACTCTAGACTCAGGATCTTGTTTCTCTTTCACATGTTGGCCAATCAGTGTTTTGATTTCAAGAACCTGTTTGACCTCCAGCTTAGGGTGAAATTGAATGGTCAAAAATGTTACTTTTTTGATGGCAGGAGCCAAAGACATTAAGTATTTTAGACTTAGCTGTTCAGGAAGTTTGCCAGTTTAATTAGTCATAAATGCAACATTAAATTGTACTTTTAAGTGTTCAGCATTCAGGGTATAGCTACACTGCAGCTTGAAGGAGTAGCGTAAGGATATCCAGGCTAGTTAATATGACAGGCAATCCAGCCTCAGCAGCACAGAGCTCCACGTGAGCCAGTTCACTTTGCTGCCAGCATGATACTCCATGCTGCTGCAGTTAGCTTGGGGATCTATACTGTAGACTGCACTGTAGTGCACAAACTTATCCCAGTGCATATGAAATCAAACCTGCTTTAAAGTTGTTACAACTTCCTTGCTAAATTCTTTTTCTTTATGGGGGAGTATGGGCATTCTTGAATTTCCTTCAGGATTGTACGGATATGGTAACTGCTTCTGCGCTTGACCTGGTGAATTTAAGCTTTTTATATGGGTGGTTATAATAACGGTGAAAGTACTGCAACAGCTCTAAAGAGACCTGTATGAAGGAAATTGAGGGAATGGGCATGCTAACTCATTATGTCCTGTGATCAGGAGTCCAGGGCAGTTAGCCCTGCCCTACTTGCTATTCAGTATAATGTGCCTCCAGGGATTTATGGCAGGTTTTAGCTCTAGGATCATCAATCCTAGTACTTTTCACAACAGTTAGAATGTATTTAAAAGATGACATTTGGAGGCCCCAAGAGTGTGTCAGTGCAACAAACAGTGCAGAAGGTTACAAACCTTTGAAGTACTAAAGCTTTTCAAGGTTTTATTGGGAAACTTGATTTTGAAGTTTGCCTTTGACAAATTTTGCTGCTGTTCCTTTTAGATATTTGGTTTCTTGGCAATGGCAGTGTATGCTGTGAGTCTGTATTTAGCTGTTAAGAAATGGCGAATGAACGGCAGGCAGCAGAACAGCCGGCAGACCAGCAATTACTTGCGGGCCCGGACAGAGTCGAGAGAAGTGGATCAGCATCCTGAGATTCAGCGTTTGGATGATGCATGAAAGCTACATCTGGGGAGAGGACTGTGAGGAGGGAAAACGAACATTTTATTTTCTCTCATCAAGTAAAGTTCATGTAGTTTTCAGTTTTCCATATTTTTAGGAAGAGAAGGGAGAGCCTGTCTTGGCAGAAAATACCTGGCTGTGTACAGAGAAATACTTTGATCTACATTTTGTTCAGAAGCCATTCACATGAAGGCTATAAGTACTGGCCACACAAAGCAAGATCTGTATGAAAAGTCCACATAAGTGTCTGAAGTCTGTTAGTATTTTGATTAAACACCTGTAGGGTACTTTTTCCAGTTTCAGGCTGTAGAGACCCATCGTATTCTACCACTATCTCTTCA